CTTATGAGCAGTCATGAGTGTTGTAGCACCACTTTGTCCAACAACTTAAACCTCTACAAGCCAACCCATGACAGTCTTGATTCATATCTACTTCCAACATATGACCGACTGTTGGTGGTTTGAATAACTTAGTCAATCAGGAAGAACGACCTAGTTATTCTGGAAGTCAAAACATGCAAAATGAAACACAAGAATAATTGAATCTGATATGGTCTCAGAACTTATGAATATAAATAAAACACCTTTTATTTATCACCATTTGATTACACATTATTCATTGCATATTGTTTCAGCTATCAACTTTATTCTTGAATTAAAACAATAGTTGTCCCATGCTCCAAGCATGTACACTATGTTTTTCTAAACCCTAGTCATGCCACACACCAAGTATGCATACTATGTTTGTCTATGATCTTTACTTTGTAACATAGACCAATTGAACATATCTCCAATAATTCTCATTTCACAATCCCAAATCCTTACTGCAAATGCAAGAATTCCAAATTCATGCCATTTACTGAAATCTGTTAGATTCTAAACTTATATGCATTGATCCTCTTGTAATGATTATGCACACAGTCACAAGGACTTGACAACAAACATAACAGAGCATTCCAAAGGAGATCAACTCCTTGGAAACATCCTTCTTGCATTAAGTTTCCTAAACTTATGCAGATTTATTGAACAACTTCCACCTATGGGATAATTTCCGTATTCCCCTTTTGACTATCACTTCTGAACAAGAGTTGCCTTTTTCAGAATATGTCAATATGGTCCTTCCAACAATTAACACTATACTTCCAACTGTCCTTGAGTAACCAATCTTTGGTAAACCTTAGATTGTCCTCAACAGTTGTTTAATCCTTTTAGTCATATCCAGTTCTAGACCTTTTCCCTTCTTAATGCCCCAAACATTTGGAAAATTTTAGAAAGGATGAATATAGCACATGTAATCGATCCTATATCCGAAGCATATGGGACACGATTCATGATGTCTCACATAAAGACTAAACCATTCTTTTGCTATAATATTTCCATTTCAATTTGTCAAGTTCTCATAATTCAGATTATGAAAAGGGATGCCGTAATCATAATCGAATTTTAGAACGCAAATAATGGACCCATATAGAGAAATTTCTAAAGTTAAGCCATTCCAACATAACATTCATATATATACTTGACTAAATACGATTAAAACCTCAATATAAGCTTTTAGATTTGAGATGAAGTATAGTTTTCTCTCCCTTAATTAAAGCAAAACAACTCTTTCCCAATCGAAACCTTTTGTTTTCTATAACTAACATTGCTAACTTGCAACCTTTATCATAATTATCACGCTCCCACTAACACGATGATTATTAGCATAACACTTATGCTCCCACTAGCTTTGACATGTACTCATAAATCAGCTGGACTTCTAGAAATCAATACTTTATTGACTTTCTTACCAAAGTTCAGACTTCTGATACTAGATTGCTTTGATAAAACTTTATCAATATCATACACCTCATCTTAGATAGCTCACAGGGTCATGGGGCCATGGCCCCTCTGTTTTTTTCACCTACTAATACTTGTATTATATAAAGGATAGGTTCATTTATTGCACTAATTTCATGGTCCCTCCACATTTGACTTGTCAACTACAAAACAACAACAAAAATCAATCTTGTTTTGTTATAACAAGAACCTAAATAAGTAACAGATTCTACTAAAATAACTAGAAAAATCAAAACCAAATCCCAATTTTAAAAATATACGATCATATTCTATAAATACTGGAAAACTAATCTAATTTACATTTTATTAAACCAATCTTTCAAAAAATATAAAATCTAAAAACTAAAGAAGATCACTATTTCCAGAAAAGTTGCTCACCGGAAATCAGTGTCGCCACTGAAATCCACGAATAGGCCGAACTTCTCACTAGAAATATCGATGCTCGCTCTAGAGTGCTCATCACTCACTCTTTCCTTCACCCTTTTTGAACTTTATGCGCTCCATGTCTCCTCTGTTGGCCCCTGCCATTCGCCGAACGGCTACTACGAGTCTCTAGCGTCTACTCTTCTCCTCTATTGTCATGAACTTCGGTTTTTGTGCTCTCATTTCTGGCGGATTTGAAAGTTATTTCTTTTTCTAACCAGATCTATTTTCTATATGGGATTGTAAAAAAGCATTGAAATTTGAGAATGATAGAGGTAAATAAAAGTTTGAAACCTGTAAAAGTAAAAAGGTTGCAACAAGTACAACATTAATTATTATTCTTTGTTAGTTTTTGAAATTTTTAAACTGAAGACTCATACTGAAATCATAGAAAATTCATTAGAAGTTTAGACTTTGTTTTATATATATATATATATATATATATATATATATATATATATATATATATATATATATATATGTTAATTGTTAATAACAATATAATTATGAGTTAATTTTGTAGTTGGTTAGAGTATAATTAGAATTTTGTAAAACAATTCAAGTAGAGTTAAAAGATAATTTTACAAGAGTTCAAAAATCAAAACATCCACAATTTTCATTTTGATGATAAATATAACAATATTCCATATTAATTTTTTTGATTAAAATTTTGATGAGTGGTAACTCTGAATAATATTAAACTTGTTTATATGATTTTCGTTTGAAGTTTTGGATTCGGCCCCTAGTCCTAGGGCACGTGTTCCGTCCCTAACAAGTAATATCACAGATTTTCAAGTTTGATTTGATTTTGTGGTATGTTATGAGTAATTAGGTGCTTACATAGAGAAATCAGAGCAAAAATGTGAAGTATCACAATTTTTACAAGGGACTGTTTGATAGATGTTGTAACCAGGTCGAAAGCTAAGGCTCGATGCACATTTTCCAATCAGCATGTTTGATTTGTTTTAAGACCTCCTGACTTGGAATAATATTAAACTTGTTTATATGATTTTCGTTTGAAGTTTTGGAGTCGTCCCCTAGTCCTAGGGCACGTGTTTTGTCCCTAACAAGTAATATCACAGATTTTCAATTTTGACTTGGTTTTGTGGTATGTTATGAGTAATTATGTGCTTACATAGAGAAAAAGAGGGAAAATGTAAAGTATCATAATTTTTACAAGGGACTGTTTGATAGAGGTTGTAATCGGGTCAAAAGCTAAGGCCCGGTGCATATTTTCCAATCAGCATGTTTGATTTGTTTTAAGACCTCCTGACTTGGTCCTAATTTATGACCGAGTCCCTTACTTTTCTTTTTCTGTATACTCTTCAGACATGGACTTGATCCTCAATCCATGTGTTTGGCAGACGTTTTTGTTTATGATTCGATCCAAGCCTCTAACCCAATCAACTTCTAATCGAATTTGTTCTAACCTAATCAACCTTTGTCAAACGACCCTATGACCTGCAAGATTTATGACTTGAGGCGATCCAACTCAACTTAAATCTTGGTAAATAGTCGAAAATTGATTGCACTTAGTTATCCAGGGTAAACCAAAATATTAAATATGTTTTATATATAAGATTATATTTACATTGTTGTGTTATTTGTAACATTTCACTTACTATTCATAATAATAAAATAATAAAATTCAAGTCAATAAACTATTGAAAGTTTTAACTATACTCCAATGACTTGGTTATTTTCTTAAGGGTAAATTTATAAATATATTACCATATATTTTTATTCTTACATAACGGGCATAGGTGTAGTATATATAACCGTACAGCATAATTCTTTGTTTTTAAGTTAGATGAAGTATGGATTATATTTATGTATTAAAGTCTTTGAAAAGTAGTAAATTTGTATTTTGGAGAATAAAATAAGAAAGAAAAAGGGTAGATTGATTAAAAGTTGGAGAAATAGGAGGGACGCATGTGCATGAGATAAAGAGGACCGCAGTAACCGTAAAGACACGCCTATACATGCGCGCATCCGATTCTTCACCCTCCTACCTTTCTTTAACCGCCATACAGTATATATCTGAATATGGTTCACATGAAAGCCTTTTAATATATTATCTCATTTTGTACATTTAATATAATATAACTAAATTAATTAAAAGGTCCCCATTTTATATTTAATCAGATATCTATATTGTTGTGTTTTTTTTTTCCCTAATCGGTTGTTATGTAACATACATTCCACATTAAGTTCGTGTAAGTATTTCCAAATCGTTGTATCATTCTATATTTCGTTTTGAATTGTCATCTACTATAAAACTAAATAACCACTTACTCCTTTTGTTGTAAAAACTTTTAAGTATATCATATTACTTACTAAAATTAAATAAAGGTTCATTACAAAAGTGAAAAAATTAACTTAAGATAATAAACAAAGTCGATCTTGAGTATTTAAATATTCTTCAATATATTCGATGAGCAAAAAAAAAAAAATCTTTTATCGTTATTATTATTATTATTATATATATATATATATATATATATATATATATATATTATTCTATTCAAAATAATTATTGTGTTGGTCAATCAAATTTACTTATTTTAAGAAAGTGATTAATATATATTATTGAATTAAATATAACTGAAAAATATCATCTTAATTAATTATAAGGGTAATTTAGTTAATTAATATAGATTTAATAAAGGAAAATTCATTTTTTAAGGGATCATAGATTCTATTAATTTTAAAAATCCGATTTTACGAATTATGATTCTTTTAATTCGGACATTCTGACAGAATATGTTTATGAGTATATTCAAAAATAAAAATATTCTTGAACCATAAATAATAAAAATATTCTTTAACCTATTTCTTGATCATGACTTTAAAAACTTCTTGTAGAATAACAAATTCTTGAACAATCAAATGAAGAATAAAAACAAAAAATAAAGTATTTCTGGTAGAATACGAGTAACAATTGTTAATAATTACATTTATTCTTAAAGAATAAAACTAAAAAACTTTCAAAACAGAAAAGAAAACATCAAAATCTACCAACGACACTAGTACATTCTAAAAGACTAATGTTGCTTAGAATTACTTTCAATTTTTGTGGTCCGTTCTTTAAGCATCAACTTCTGTGATTCCAACAGAACTGAAATTCATGATTCCATTCCAACAGAATTGGAATTCGTGATTCCATTCCAATAGAATTGGAATCTCACCAATATCATCCATTGAATCATCTATATAAACAAATTGATTTTTATCATATAAGAAGAAGTAAATTTGATATGAAAATAGTGACAAACTACCTTCACTATTGTGGACACCTGTCAAGATTGTTGCACCACGGAAAAATGAAAATGCAATATAAAACTTCCTTCCAACAAGAGGCCATGGTTTTCCCTAGTATTAAATAATAAATTAATAATTTGGGAAAGATTATTTATAACTTGACCTACAAAAGTGAGCATTTTTAATAATGATCCTACATAATGGAAAACACACCTCAGTAGGATGGAAAACAAGATTATCAACAGGATGGAAAACAAGATTATCAATCCGTAAATCACCATGGACAAAACCTGTCGTGCTTCCAGAAGAATCTTCAAAAGGAATATTCTCACGCAACCAACCAGTAGAATCAATGAAGTAATGTACTGGTTTGCCCATCTTTCTACCTGGTATATACATTATTTACAAAAAATCATAATCTCATGGTATATTTGAGTAAAAAGAAAAAAAAATTCAATACACATTTCGTTTACAGTAGTTGTTTCGTCTACCATAATATTGAAGACCAATAGCATCAACATCAGTAGAATGAAGAGAAGCTAAGCTTTAGCAGTAGCATGTTATAAAGCTTGTCTGCTATTGGGTGTTATGCCCTAATATAAAAGGAATGGATCAACTAAATATGTATGTGAAGCAATTAGCAAAACAAACCAAAAACGGGATTATAATAACACAAATTCATCTTCAACTCATTGAATTATATGTAAGAATTCGGCTTTTTAGAAGTGAAATGAGGACTATTTGAGCCAGTTTTAGTGGGAATGTTATAAAATTACCTTTTGGATCTTTGGCAGCTTCATGATCATATACAACCATTTTAGGGTTCCTAGGGGCCACTTTAATGACCCTGCTACCTTCGCCCTCATCAATTTCATCTTTGGTGTCATCACCTTCGTTCTTGTCCACCAAAAATTAAGGATTATTCAATACAACTGGTTTCAATTCCCTTAGTTTTGCAGCTTTGTACTTTTTCCTACTCTCATATGCCATCGATATAGGTTTTAACCCATCTTTCCTCTTCTGTAATTTGCTCCCGAATTCCAATTCCTGGGTCATTCATTCAATGCGAAATTCAGCTTGAAGCCCCTAAACTCTCCAAAAGGGTTACTAAAATTGTGGTTCAACTGGAGGATTTGGTGCAGGAGATGGTGGAGCAGCTAGACGGAGAAGAAGGAGAACTTTTTCCGGCGAGTTGAGGATTATGGTGATGGGAGGGAGCGGAGGACTGTGGGTTTTTTAGTTGGAGATATGGGACTCATTGATCTGGGGAAGGATGAGGGTTATTGAAGAGAAAACATGTCATTCATTTAAAGAGGATGAAGAACACGTATCAGTTTCAAGATCAACTGCAAAAAAAATCAAGGGTGTGAGGCCGATTTATGAAGGGGATAAATTTAGGTTTAGAAAAAGTCAATTAGATATAAACTTAGAGAAATTAGGTTAAAAGTCAATACCATGATTATAGGGATTATTTCTGGAAGTTATTAATCATATTACTAAACTACCCTTATTTATTTATTTAATTATTTAATTTTGATTGGCTACATTTATGCATACAATAACACAATAATTACTTTAAATACCTGAACCTAGCTCTCTTTCTCTCTCTCTGTAACGTCCCAAATATCACGACTAAAATTTTCTTTTAAAAAACATCACTAAAACCATATTTATAAAAACCGTATCATAAGTCATAACATAATTTCATAGCATTAATTCAACATACAAACTTATTATCAGAGTAAAACATCCCAGGCTAGCTGACTATGGTGTGTGCACTGCAATCTTTCCGAGCTCCTCTTTTGAAAACTGAGTACCTGAAACCAAAAACTGAAACTGTAAGCACGAAGCTTAGTGAGCTCCCCCAAACTACCACATACCATACAACAACATATAAAGCACATACTGGGCCTTGCCCACTGCATCGAACCGAGGTCCGGACTAACTGGGGCCTTGCCCCCTGCATCGGACCGAAGTTCGGAAACTGACTGGGACCCTGTCCCCTGCATCGGACCGAAGTCCGGACTAACTGGGGCCCCGCCCCCTGCATCGGACCGACGTTCGGACTAACTTGGGCCTTGCCCCCTGCATCGGACCGAAGTCCGGAAACTTACTGAGACCTTGTCCCCTGCATCGGACCGAAGTCTGGACTAACTGGGGCCTTGCCCCCTGCATCGGACCGAAGTCCAGAAACTGACTGAACATAGCATAGCATAACATATCAACTAGCATGAACACATATACTGCATATTGCATCGGGCCGTAGCCCGGAACACATAACACATAACACATAAATCCTGTCTGAGCCACGAAGGCATCAAACATACTAACTACTGCATCGGACCGAGGTCCGGAAACTACTGCTAGCTAAACGGGCCGGCATTGTGGCCTTAGACCCATTCCTACTGGAAGGAAACTCACCTGAACTGCTGAATTCTGTTGGTAACCCTCGGACTGCTAACCAACCACCGTCTGAAACGCTGCTCCTATAACTCTCCGAGCTACCAATAACAAAGCGACACTTAGCCTGACAGTGCTCTAAAAGTCAACTAACTCAACTCCGATCAAAGTTAAAGTCATGGCCAAAGTCAACCTTCCATGTTGACCCTACTCGCCGAGTCAGTCTACTGACTCGCCGAGTTCACTGATTTCCAAGTTCTGTCATGTCCAACTCACTGAGTCTCCACCGACTCACTGATTCAAGTCTCAACTCGAAGGGTTTGGGGTTTCGCGACTTGACTCACCGAGTCCAAGGCAATCTTCAACAGACTCGTCGAGTTGTTCATCCAACTCGTCGAGTTCGCCTCCATCTTCATACTACTCGCCGAGTCCACTCAAAGGACTCGTCGCGTCCATCCAAAACCCTTACATGCAGAGGCTTTCTGAGTCATGCATGGACTCCAAACTGTAGATCTACCCTTCCCAAGCCTATTCCTCACGTAAAGTTGCAAGCTTTACGCGTAGAGAAGGAGATCTAGGCAAAATGCACCATGAACTAGGGTTTAAGGCAAAGAGGCTCCATGATCCACTCAAGGGCTGATACTTTGTGCTTCTCAAGGCCATCATATGCTTAGATCTGAAGTAGCAACTTCAGATCTAGCTTCTAACTTGAAAGAATAACATTATGGCTAAAAAACCCCAACAACAACACATAGTTCTAGGTGTAAAGGAGGGAAAAATAGCAGCTTGTTACCTCCAAGATGAACACCACAGAAGTATATCTCGGATCTACACCACCTCCTTTGAAGCAACCTTCTTGATCTTCAAGTTCCTTTCCTAAAGTTCCTTCCTCCAAGCTATTTCTCTCAAATGATAGAAGCTCACACGAAATCAAGGGTGTACTGGTTCTCTAGGATGATATGGGGGCTAAGGGAGGGACATAACACCCTTTAAATAGGGTACAACTCCCGGGATTAGGGTTTTTCCTCGTTCAGATCAGACTCGCTGAGTCACCTTGGCCGACTCGCCGAGTCGGTCGCTTACTCCTCGACCCGGATCCCGCTCGGACTCGCCGAGTCCCTCCTTGGACTCGCCGAGTCTCCCCTTAAAATTGGGGTTTTCTTTCTTTTCTTGGCTTTCCAAACTTTGGGTGTTACAACTCTCTCCTACTTAAACTAAACTTCATCCTCGAAGTTTGCTACGATCCACCGACTGTAATCTGCCTCCAGTACCCCACCGCTCATTCTAACACCAGCTGCCTACCTTCGCTGGCCTTCCGCTCAGTCATTCAGACCAATGTCAATCCTTACAAATAATAATCTCGGGTCCATCCTAACCCTGAACATTCTGGAAACGCAACTCACTCAACCGACAATCTTTTTGATACTCTCCAAATACTGCACTGACCCCGTGGGGGTTCACCCCTTCTTTCCTTGCACGATTTCCTTGCCTTCCCAAGGCGATGCTCCATAACCACCTACCTCTTCCGTCACTGTGAAGACCTTGTCTCCACCAAATCTATTACTCCCGCTACTCCCAGTACGGGTCATCATCGCCAGTATCCACTGGGCATTCTTTCTACTACAATTCGGTGTCGCGCACCCCACAAACAACTGACTGAATCCTACCATACGCTGCATACTCGCACTGCTATTGACTGAAAATTCTGCTATTCCATATCTGACTTCCGGATGAACTGAGACCACCCAGGTCCAACTAATATGGTTGAACTTGCAGTCCGACACAAAATTCATACTGCCCAATATATTGCAATTATCTTAAACACTGAACTGTCTGGAACACTGAACTACCTGAAACATTGAACTGCCTGCAACACTGAACTGCCTGAACGAAACCTTTCTTTGGAACTTGTTTCCACTAGTCATCCTGTTACTGTGGCCCTAACGACCTCCCGATCCAACCGACCGGGTTCAAACGTCGAATCCAAACATCAACAAATCCAAGACTATAATGATGGCTCCCAGACTAATGGTAGCCCTTAACATACATGAACCACAATGGTTCACTGCTTCCCTGATCTCATAACTATGTTGACGATCCATCTGTCGCATTGTTGGCTCAACCATGACTAAACTATGGAAAATTCGAAATCCAACTCGTGGATTTCCATATGCTCGCTGCTGCACACGAATTGGTGGGTACTACTGCTTCCCCCTGCATCCAAACAATGCGCTCATGTTGTCTACTAACCTGGCGAATGCTACGGCTACACCCGTAGACCTACAACTCCCTAATACTGTCTGGCTGCTAGTGAACGCTACGTCTACCCCCGCAGGCTTACATCACTCTACTACTATCTGACTGCTAGTGAATGCTACGGCTACCCCCGCAGACTTACAACACTACTACTACTATTTGGCTACTAGTGAATGCTACGGCTACCCCCGCAGACTTACAACACTAATACTACTATCTGACTGCTAGTGAATGCTACGGCTACCCCCGCAGACTTACAACACTATTACTACTATCTGACTGCTTACCAATCACTATTCCGAGCACTTCCTGACTATCCCTACTTCTGCTAGCAATTCCTCATCCTGACTTTTCAAAATCAATCCTCAATCATCGGATGCTACATCAACCTCGACATCTTATATCCTTGATGAAATTAGCGTTCCGTCGAGGAACTCTTCGACTTGGTTCCCAAACCAACCGTCTACTAATCCAGAAACATGAAACTAACATTGGGAAGTTTCCAAACTTCCAAATCCTGAATCCACACAACCCTACATGTTGTCTCTACCACTGACTACTAACACGGAAACATCTCTTGCTAACCATTCTCAAGATCCTCCTTCCGACTCAATAGAGTCCTATCGGCGGTCCTCCAACCTGGATTCCCAATCAGCTACTAACCATATCGATTACATGAACTAACTGCTGGGAAGTTCCTCAAACTCCCAATTCTGAACTCCTTGATCCACCCATTCCTATGCTACTATCCTTGTTTTTCAAGGATTGCGTACTCATTTCGGGTCAGCGTGCTCTTGCCCTTGTATACTCGGAGGGTTCTCCCCCACTTGGATCCGGCTAACTCCTTACTGCTCACTGGTCAAAGGATTCCCCAACCTTCCTTCCACTAAGGGCGATCTGCTGCCCGCCAACATTATCTCTGTCGACACTCCATCTGACCTTTACCAGATCCGAACCATTCTTGCTAATTATCTGAGCACCCTTCAGTCATTTATTGTACTTGCTTTAGTGACTGCACCTTGAGAACCTGCGTTTAGGGTGAATATCTCCAACTCACTTCCTTACTGACCGCTAGCTGCTCCACTAGAAGCTCTAGATTGTCACTACCGAGGATATAAACGATCAATACTCGAATAACACCTTCCAAAAGTGGCGAGACACTTCTGAATATTACACATACATGTCACAGTTACTATATCCGGAGTAGCCTGTTCTAGAGGGGGCGACCCCCAACTATCATTCTAACATCCAAGGTATGCAAATGGCATATACCTCAGTCGCAAACAGGTAATATGATACCCCAATACATACGCTTATAAATATCGTTGCAGCAACATAACAATAATATCATGAATAGTAATTGACAGGAAGGCAAAAGATACATACATCCAACACCCGAC